GTCGCGACCCTATTAATACTTATTATATTTTCTGTTTCGTAGTACAAAAAATAATTAAATAGATAAAAAACTATCCAAAAACTGAGATCTACCAAATTTTTTTGAAATCTACCACTTTTTTTTGAAATCCACCACATTTTTTTGAAATCCACCACATTTTTTTGAAATTACCACATTTTTTTGAAATTACCACATTTTTTTGAAATTACCACATTTTTTTGAAATCTACCACATTTTTTTTCCAGATTCTACTATACAGAATTCTTTTTAAGTCCGATCACTTTAATACTTCAGAACGGCTATGTATATTTACAGTTTACAGAAAATTACCTTCCTTCGTTCCTTCCACAAAAATGTTGCCTTTCCCCTGTGCAAAGTGCCACTTTTTTTTGAAATCTACCACATTTTTTTGAAATCCACCACATTTTTTTGAAATCTACCACATTTTTTTGAAATCTACCACATTTTTTTTTCCAGATTCTACTATACAGAATTCTTTTTAAGTCCGATCACTTTAATACTTCAGAACGGCTATGTATATTTACAGTTTACAGAAAATTACCTTCCTTCGTTCCTTCCACAAAGATGTTGCCTTTCCCCTGTGCAAAATGCGTTTGATGTTACACTCAACCCTGTAAAAGGGCATGGTTTTGCCTTGTTGTCCTTGTCTAGCTCACGTATTTCATTTTAAGCAACCATATGATTTTCAGGCCAACCATCTCCCCTGATAGAGCTGCCTTTTTTGCCTTAAAAGAGTGTGACATTTTAATAAACGAACACAAAATTTTCTCACCGAATCGAACACGGAAAGAGAAAGGGGCAATCAAAAGGCGACATTTTTTGCTAGAAGCGAAAACACCATTACTGTGCATGTACATACGAATTTATGTACATATGTAAGTAACCACAATGCTTCCCCTTACATTACAGTATATTTATAATTTATAATTTATTGCTGCTCATCTGTAGAAGGCCAACAATTATTGTTGCTGCTGTTGTTGTTGTGAGTATTGTTATTATTGGAGCGCACACATGTCCTCGCTTGGTGCATGCCACATCGCCAAAACGCACTCACACCACAATAACAAATTGAAAATATGGTTTCAAATTTTACGAGCATCATGTGAATTGCAAGTGGATACAAGTTGCAACAGCAGGAGCACTACCAGCAGCAGCAGCAGCAGCAACGGCAACGGCCAACCACAAGCATAGCCACAAAATTCTAAGCATGTTGCAGCAGTAGCAGCAGCAGCAGCAGCAGCAGCAATTGCAAAACCAACAAAATTCTACAACTCAATGCAAGTAACTAGAGTCTAGAGTCTCCTTGCAACGGTTCAGTTAGCATTTTAAAGACAACGAAATCGAGGAATACGAGTACATATGTAAGTCTGTATGTATGTAAGTATGTGTGTTTGCATGTGCATTAGGGTGCAGCACAAAACAAAAACAAAAAAAAAAAACATTTCAGAAACTTATTTAGATTTACGTGAGCTGGACGCATTTGAAAATACGTACCTCCAAAGAAATAAATATAAAATTAGGGTTTACAAATATTTATTTTTTTTTTTTCATTTCATTTATTAAGACAAAGAACATTAGTACAATAAGATTATAGATCTTTTATAGTACAAAACAGAGTTTAAAAATACTAGTAAAAATAAAATACATACAGATTACTTAAAACAAAAATAAAAATATGTATATGTGTATATGTATGTATTTTTTTTTTTCGAAAAGTCACCACAGATGATAGGAGAGTTTTAGCTCAAAGGTCTCCAAGAAAATGTTAACAAATTTTTATCAAAGGAATTAAAATAATCCGAATTTTGCAGGTAGTTTCAAATCGCTCCAGCTCACGTAAATCTTAACATTTCTGCGAAATATTTTTTTGGAGGTATTAAAATATAATACATTTTATAATTCCGGTGGAAATACACAATTTAATTAATTTTTTTTTTGGTGGGGCACCCTAATGTGCATAAATTTGTAGAAAGTTTGTGGGCGATTGTTTTTGTATGTATGCATGTAGGCAGACATAGAGTAATTGTAAACTGCTTCCTCTTTGTTTCTATTGGTCTGCTGCTGCCGCTGCTGCCGCTGTCCCTGCTTATGACAGCATGGTAAAATAACGGGTTAGTAACATTATTAAATGTTTCAAATATTATTATGAATTATTTTGCAACTAAAATTTATCCATGTATGCGTGAGTGAGTACAGTATGATTTCCATATGAGCAACTCTGGCTTGATATAACGGTATGTGGTTTGCATCTCCATAGTTGCAGCAGCATTCGCTTTACAATTGCAGCGGCACTTGTTGTTTTTTTGTGTTTTTCTCTTTAGTTAACCGTAGACGTTTTGCTACCAAAAATGTTTGGCTATCCTCCCGTGTGTGTAGGCGGGCGCGTATGTGTGACTGTGGGCAGGATATCATTAAATTTTGTTAATACCACTAAATATACCTACATTTGCAACAAAAGTTTTCGTCAGTTTTAGGGAAGTGTTTGCGGTTTTGAACGTTAGTTAGTTTATAACTACCATACGCGTGTAGTAATAAGTAAAGGATTATAATTGGCAGTAAGTTTAGTAGCTGTAACTCATTATTAGTAGTAATAACTTGGTAAGGTAGCCGCTACTATTGCTGATTTCGCTCAGTGCTCTGCATAAAGTTAGGAAGCCTGCAACATATGTACATATATATATGCCAAATGCAATCTGGTGACTCCTTTCGAGGCTTAACCTAGGTATGCTAGTTGGTCAGTAAATATTTTTGTTTTAAATG